TAAATACTGGACAAGTATATGAATAATACTCTGTTACCCCCCCCCCCCCCTCTTCTGCTTTGCGACATACCTGAGAAGGGAAGGATGGAAAGGTGTCCAGTATTTTCGGAAAAGATATCGGCAACCCTAACTGTGACTGTGAGTTCTGTGAGTGCTCTAAGCTAGAGATCTAGCTATAAGTTTCTAGATCTAGACTAGATCTAATCTAGACCTAGATTATCTAGATTAGATATATTTATATCGAGAATCAAGAATCTAGTTTTAGATTCTAGAAGGAGTACTATAGAGATCTAGATTCTAGATCTAGAATCTGTATTATCTAGATCTAGTCTACAATGTAGATCAGAGTTTCTTCCAGGCATCTCTTCGGGGGGGGGGGGGGGGGGGGAAAACCCCCCCCCCCCCCCCGAAATTTTTTTACCGCCCCCCCCCCCTCGAACGAAATGAAATTTATATCGTTTATATAGAAAATATATACTTTTCAAAGTGTCCGCCCCCCAAAGAAAATCTACCGCTCCCCCCCCCCCCACGAAAATTTCAAGTGCCCCCCCCCCCCCTCCCCGGAGAAAAAAGTCTGGAAGAAACACTGATCTAGATTTCTAGATCTAGATCTAGATTCAAAGATTCTAGACGTCTAGATCTAGATCTAGTCTAGTAGTAGATCTGGTATTTTACGGCTTTTTAATATGTTTAATTATTTTTTATTAAATATTAAAATACTAGATCTAGATCTAGATCTATTCTAATTTATAAACTTAATACTCAATAATTAAATAATACTAATACTAACTACTAACTAGATCTATAGATCTTATAGTTAGTTAAGTAACTTTATTTGTAAGACAGTAGAAGTATTAAGTATAAGTCAAGTAGTAGAGATCTACTCTAGTCTAGATCTAGAAGTTACATATTTTATAAAAATCTATATTAAATAATTCAATAAGTAGATCTAGGCCTATATTCTATAATGATTGTACTAATAAATATTAGTAAATAGTAGTAAATATATTTACTATAGTAGTAGTATTAGTAAGTATATAGTTACTAGGTATATTTTAATACACACAACCTCATAATTGCAAAATCATGACATTAGTGAATAAATTATTTAGTAGGCCAAAAATTTCTATATTAATTTAATTTTAATAGTTAATACTTACGAAATTACTAGATCTTTACAAAATACATTTTATTTAGGATAATATAGGCTATGGTACAGATGACAGTCCTAATACTTCAATTACATTGTTATTATGATAAGGGCCTAGTTAGAGGTAATTACTAATTAGACTTATGATGACTTATGTTAGTCTAATAACTTATAGATTCATATTTAATAGCAGTAGGTCTATAGGCTTAAAATAGTATTGTAAAAAAATAAAGTATGCTTAATTATTACAGTTGTCATATTAGTTTTAGTTACAGTAGGCTTATCTAGACTGTAGATTTAGATGTAGTAGCTTAGTAGTAGTGTAGTAGGCCTGTGATAGCGTAGGTAGTTAGTTTTAGTATGTAAGTTAAACAAAGTCAACTAGGCTTAATAAGGCTACAATTTTAAACTGTAAAAATTACATGTAGCCGAAATAAAAGGTTACAGACTAGTACATTAAATAATATCCAAAATTTAAGTTTAATCTAGATTAGTAGTCTAACAGTAATTTTAATTTTAGACCTCTAATAATAATTGTAAAAAATTACTGAATAGAAGAGTAGGCGTACTAGTAAAGAGCTTATTTTAGTTCTACTTTATTTACTTAATATATGACTTAGTCTACTCTTAGTCTTATGTAGTGATCTTTAGAACTTAAAATGCAGAATAGTTGATAAAGCCAACAGGTGTCAATTGTCATAGATGGATTAACTTACTAATCAAATTAATATAATTATCCTAATATTTATTCTAGTATGTGCATGAATTAATGATAGTTATAGTAACCTAGTTTGAATATCAATTTTCAACTAATTCCTGAGGTGGCTAAACATAAGTGGTAGATCTTTATTGATACCTTTTTCTCTTTTTTAATGATATATACATGACGTTTGGACTTTAATGACAAACTCCTTACATTAAAATATTAAACGTAAACTATTAGACCTATATTTTTAATGAATGGTAATGGTTAGATAGCCCATACAATCCAATACATAAATACACATCATTGCTTTAAGATCTTTATAAGACAGACACATATTTTTATTTATAACATTTTAAGAGTTGAAAGTATGTAAACATAATGAGTTTAATATAACAGTTTATGACATTTATTTATGTTTTTTTAGATACTGTGGATCATACAACTGCATACAGAGAAGACAAAAGTCAAGATGAAGTTCAATTTAAAAACTGATCCAAGGATACATGTTGGACCCAAGAAAACTTGTTCATATTGAACAACTATTTTTTATATTAGTTCTGAATGAATATGGTAATTAAAAAAAGAAAATTATAAACTTTGTTATGTTTATTTTTTTTTCAGCACTGCTTGTGTGTGCTATGTTTGTGGAAAGTAATTATTGCTACCTTAATTCAATAAACTTAAACTGGTGAACTATAAATAGTTTTTAAAAATATGGTGCTGAAGTAGATTTCAAATAGTTTCTATATATTAATAAATTGTATGATCAGCAAAATGTCAAGCAGCTTTTACTGTCCATAACCAGTCAGGTTCCAGTTAAAGCTGCTTTCAATTTGAATCAGAGACAACCTAAAGGATTGAAATTTTAACTCAAGAGCTTTTGCTTTAGCAAATGTGTTCAAAAATATGTAGTCCCACTATAAGTCTTACATTTGCATATATCTATCATAGCTGTAAAACATAATGATAAGGGAAGAATCAAGAATATGGGTTTTTGTCAATTCTAGCCATACCAGCATATACATGTAGACCAGGCTTAGTGAAGCATTGCTGATAACTCACAATCAACCACAAATACAACAAACTATAATCACTGCCTGTTTCCTGGTAATGTGTTGTTATTGGCCATGCAAGTTTATGAACATGTTGTAATTGTTTATATATCACAAAAGAAAAACAAACTATAATCACTGCCTGTTTCCTGGTAATGTGTTGTTATTGGCCATGCAAGTTTATGAACATGTTGTAATTGTTTATATATCATAAAAGAAAAAGACTGTTGCTGATCAGATGCATTCCAGATTTTGAGGAAAAGATGTTTTCTATAAGGATAGGCAGCTATAGCAAATGAGGTTAGGGGAAATATTGAGTTAAAATAAATTATTTAATAATTGTAATGACAGAGATATCATCACAACAACAAATGTAATTAGGTTTGTATGACTAATTAATGAATATCCTATAAATAATAGCAAAATGCTGTAGTGGTCGTCCATCAGACTTTGAGGTGGTGGGGGAGATTTGGACCTTTGTGTCAAGGGGGGGGGGGGGGTCCAGAAAGTAAGATGACACTTTTCCATGTTCAACAAACACTCATTTTAAGAAACTGAATTTAAACGTTTATTTGCATCATTAAAAGTCGTTTTATAAAATGTTATAAAATAATTCATCAATAGGCCTACATTGAATGTTGGAAAAGCCCATAGGTCTAAATATTTTATGAAAATCGCAGCAATAGGGGGGGGGGGTTGGATTAGGTTTACTTTTTTGGGGAAGGGGGAGGTCTGGCATCGTTGTGACATCGTTAATAGATGACCCCATAGTCAGAGGTCGATCTAGGTTGATTAGGTGTATATTAAACGTTGATATTAATTACGCTTTAGTTATTATTACAATTTAATAATAGCCTAGTAGTTTATTTATATTAAATAATATAACATCCACTTGCACCACAACACCCTGACTATACTAATCCAAATTAAAATAAAAATGTTTTGTAAATTGCTATTATAATATTAGTAATTTTGTGTTCAATATTTTTAGCCTCAGTAAAACCGGAAGAGACTTTGTACTTATTTCACAAATGTTACAAATTATTCAATTTTGATTCAAAAATATGCTTTCTGGCAACACAAAGTGGAACCACTTTTGGAACCAATTTTCCATTCTATTACTTAAGTAGGGTCTATTTATATGACGAATTAGGTCTACAATTTTTGATTGATGGCAAAGTTTTTATTCTTTATTGCATTTTTCAAGGAACGGACTTGAAGAAAATATTATATACACTCACATTTAAATCATATTAAAAGGATTAATATAAAATAATATGTTCGCTTATGTGACTAGGAAAATTAATTCATTTTGGGTAGAATAAAAGTAATCAGTTCAAATATTTAATAAAATATTGTTTTCTTTTGTGTTTGCCTTTGCGTAGTTTTTGTGATTGTTTTTTTCTTTGTCGTTGTGTTTGAGTTTTGCGTCTGCGATAACGTTTGTTTTTGTGCATTCCTTTGTGGGTTTTTTTACGTTTATGTTTGCATCGTGTTTGTGTGCTTGTTTTAGTTGTGTTTATTTTTTCTTTTGTGTTTGTGGTTAGTTTTGTCCTGTTCCAACTTGGTAGGCCTACACTTAAAATCAATCCATTTTTTTTCTAGGCATATAAGCAAATGTATTATTTTACATTGATCCGTTTATTAATATGTTTTAGTACTGTGCATGTATTTAATATTGTATTCACGTTCTTTTGTTTACGTATGCAAAAGAGTTAAAATAACAGTATTAATATGACGACAATAAAATAATAAACCCTTTTCCAAAACTTATAATGAGACAATGCGATACAATGCGCAACGTAAAATTACGGCATGAGTTAATGTTTACTTTGATGGTTCTAAAATCTATAGCAATGAAGGAATAACAGGCAGAAGGAAGGACATAAAGGATCGGACCAGTCTTCTCGCAGAGGACTGAAGTGGATGGCGGAAAATTTATGTGTCCACTGTGGCGCTCCAAAGGACTGTAGTAAGGTTAAAGTGAAGATGAGGATGATTTGAAAAATATATAGCGTAATTATCGCAAATAAACATACAAAATTGATTTTCAATTTTTTATTAGATGAATTAACAAACAAAATTATCCATAAGTTTTTTCTTTTGACAGGACTCCGGGGTCATCCACAAATGACGTCACGTTTTTTTTTACCTCCACCTCTACCCTCAGTCACACGATGTCACTCATCGCCAGTCCCGTATAATCGACACTTGAATTCTGTTGAATTGGGAGCTCCGACCCTATTAAACAGAAAATGTTTTAAACATCCAGATAGGATGACCTTTGCAATATATATATATATATATATATATATATATATATATATATATATATATATATATATATATATATATATATATATATATATATATATGTATGTATTGCAAAGGTCATGTGAATGTCGAGTTGCATTATCAACAAGTTTTTGAAAGCCGCACATTCACGGTAACGCCAGGGGCGGAACAACAGTGCCGCCAGACCCCGCAATGCGGGGGAAGGGGGGGGGGCACGCCATTTAGGGGCCCAGAGCCGACCATAATAAAAAAAAATTATAGTTAAAAAAAAAGTAATTAATTTTCTTTCATTTTTGACTTGATGGTTGTTTTGTAAAAATATTACTGTAACTGCGGTTGGATTATCTTTATTCTATAGACACCACCCCACGCTCTTGTATCTTCTTTTTCCCTTTGTTTTTAACCAACTGTGAAAGACTAGTCTTTCTCCTACAATTAAACTCATCAAACATAAGCACATGTTCAAACCACTTCCATGACTTATTTCCCTTTTATTAAAAATAGTCAAATAGGGGTGATCATAAGCTCCTTTTAATAGATTTGTACTAAACAAATTCAAAAGCATTTACTTCTCTTTATTATTATTTTTTTTAAAGTAATTACTATAGAGTAATATTGTATAAAAAGGAAATGCATTGAAATATATTAAATCAACAATATTTAAAACATTAATAATATAAATCCAGAAAAATAAATAAAAATAAACATAACACTAGACACCATTACTTATACAAAGCTTTCATGTTTTATATTATTTTGACCGACATGATCCTAAGAGTAGGGCATCTATAAAAATTAATTAAAACTGATTTTCACCTAACAAACTAATGCATTTACACACATGACATGATGTTGAAAAAAAAAATTATTTGATGTTTTTCAAACCGAACAGGCCAGCAACTAGCATCCTATGTTCGTAATTTGTGATTGTTATTTTGTGATTGTATATATATATATATATATATATATATATATATATATATATATATATATATATATATACATATATATATATATATATATATATATATATATATATATATATATATATATATATATATATATATATATACATATTAATATATATATATATATATATATATATATATATGGGGGGGGGGGCCTAAAAATTTTTTTTTGCGGGGTGGTCATTTTTTTCTAATTCCGCCACTGGGTGACGCTCTCTAACTAACACATAATTTGGACAAATAGGTGCATTCAAATATTACACGAACCATAAAACACAAACAACCAATTTTACACATAAATACATTGTTCATTTGTTTTTTTAAACATATATGTTAACTAAAATGCTAATTTTATTTATGCATCAGCATACCATTAAGGATGACCTTTTACCTGCATACTCGACGATAACTCATACAGCATGGTCTTCTGGGAGAACATGATTTATGGTATCGACGGCAGCTATAACAAACACATTTTTTTTTAGAAAAACAATTTATGTAGGTATCTATAATATAAGGCTGGTGGTTGTGTTTCACTCCTTCCTTCTGCCTGTTTTCCTTCATTGCTATTGATTTTAGAACCATCAAAGTAAACATTAACTCATGCCGTGATTTTACGTAGCGCATTGTATCGCATTGTCTCATTATAAGTTTTGGAAAAGGGTTTATTTTTTATTGTTGTCATATTAATACTATTATCTTAACTCTTTTGCATACGTAAACAAAAGAACGTGAATACAATATTAAATACATGCACAGTGCTAAAACATATTAATAAACGGATCAATGTAAAATAATACATTTGCTTATATGCCTAGAAAAAAATGGATTGATTTTAAGTGAAGGCCTACCAAGTTGGAACAGGACAAAACTAACCACAAACACAAAAGAAAAATTAAACACAACTAAAACAAGCACACAAACACGATGCAAACATAAACGTAAAAACCCCACAAAGGAATGCACAAAAACAAACGTTATCGTAGACGCAAAACGCAAACACAACGACCAAAAAAAAAACAATCGCAAAAACTACGCAAAGGTAAACACAAAAGAAAAAATAAACACAACTAAAACAAGCACACAAACACGATGCAAACATAAACGTAAAAAACAAAAAACAAAGTATGCACAAAAACAAACGTTTTCGCAGACGCAAAACGCAAACACAACGACAAAAAAAAAAACAATCGCAAAGCAAAAACTACGCAAAGGCAAACACAAAAGAAAACAATATTTTACTAACTATTTGAATTGATTACTTTTATTCGACCCTAAAATGAATTAATTTTCCTAGTCACATAAGCGAAAATATTATTTGATATTAATCCTTTTAATATGTTTTAATGTGAGTGTATTTAATATTTTCTTCTAGTCCGTTTCTTGAAAAATGCAATAAAGAATAAAAACTTTGCCATCAATAAAAAACATGTAGACCTAATTCGTCATATAAATAGACCCTACTAAAGTAATTGTATAAGACAAGGCGATGCTAGTAAAGTCAAGGCATATATTGATGTTTTCTTATATGGCGCTGGATCTATAGCAGTGACGGAAAGATGGAATGACGGAAAGAAGGACTGACACACTAACAACAGCCTTGTATAATAATATAATAATATAATATATTAATAGACGTTTCTAATTCGACCCAATAGTAAACAGCTCATCAGACGGATGGGGGTGGGGGTGATTGCGATATGGTCTGTTGAGCTTACGTCTTGGTGGTGTCTCGCATGGTCCCCATTAAGATAGTTATATGGATTGAAAGATTGCTACCTAATTATGAAAATACACTTGTAAGTATGGTTTAGATAAGTTTTAAGTTGTTAAATGCACGTTTAGATTTCATCATCATTCCAGTTTGAGCCCTAGACACATGTGGCAGATGAAGTAGGGTTCATCTGCATCAGAGACCTCAGCATATGAAGCGATAACTGGCGGTCACAACATTACATATAATTTCTAAGAGCCGACTACACTAAAATGCTATCAAAAGGTCATGCAATATTATTCGAATTGATGTGAAAGCTTAGAGGTTCTCAAGACATCGCTATACACATTTAATTATGACAAACTTATTATATTTTTATTGATAATAAAATCTAAAATTAGCTGTTATTCCTAGGATAAATGGATTTAAAAATTAGTAGAGACTATGTCTAAAATTAACTGTGTTTACATGTTTGGGCCTCTACTTATGCTCACTACCACTATTACCAAACAATTTTAAAATTTACCATAACATTTTCTGTTTCTAATCTAAACTCTAAACACCAAGGTAATAAAAAAAACAAAAATATATGGCTAATAAAAACATACGCTCTTTTCTCAAAGGTTTCTGTTAAGTTACATGCCACCAAAGAAACTGTGCATAATAGCAACAACAGTAAGATCAAATTGCTCATCCTGAGTTAGGTCTCGATCTGTCTATCTCATGAGAAAATTTGTTCATAATAAAAGCAACACATTTGTTTGTTTTTTAAATTCATGACAAGCGTTTTAATAACAATATTTTATATAATAATGCATTTAAAAAAATAAAAGATTTTCTTGAAATATATAATAATACACTAACTTTAAAATTAATATAAACAAAAGCGTTGGTCACTATAATTTCGATTTGATACCTTTACTTATATTTAGGAAGAGACCCACACTTTTATTTAAAGGATTTTAAATATTAGTTTATCATTATATATTTCATTAAACTCCGATTTCAGCCTGCTTTTCTTTTTGGATTTTGCTTCCATAGCCTTTGTCCAACCAAGAACACACTACAAGGTAGCAGTAGTGTAATTTTGGAGTTGTTCTACTAGAAGAGTAGCTGTCCCCAGCTAACGAGCCTCATCTGCCAGATGGTTCGAACTCGAGACTTTTCGGCAATTTTTTTTTTAAAATGGTCATTTCTTCATATTCTAAAATTAGAAGATGACGCCATTAGTTTTGTGCACTTTCCGTATTTTAAGCTCGTGAAATGTGAAGTCATTGTTTTCTGTGTTCTTGTCACAACAATAAACACTTTTCCGGTTGGATAATTAAAAGTGTGTTTCTTTATTCGAGTGTGCCTTCATTTTTATTTTCTTTCTTTAAATAAAATATAGTTTCCACATTTAAAGCACCCAGTATATTATTTTCAAGAAAAGTCCATATCAAATTCTCCATATATCGATTAAGATACTGATCTGATATCCTGTGAAAATATTTTGCGGACAGAGAGAGAAGTGCGCGAATGGGCTTTTCTATATTAGCACTAGCCGTTGGTACCCATTACACGAGAATTATCGGTCTATATATATTTTAATGGTATACATATTTTAGAAGAATATTTTATAAAATAGTTATTGGTCAAAACGCAATGTGCTTTACTACAGGTTTAAGGATATTAGTGACAAAGCAAAGAGATAACTAAATAGCTAAAAGTCCGACACATTTAAAATAACATGGGCTACTTATACTTATTAGAAAAAATAAAACCAAATTATATACATAATTAGTCAACACAAAACCATATTAAATGCACACAAGTAGTATATAAGGTCCCTTTTGGGTCGCATGGTAGAGCAGGTAGGGGCGAAGGCGCAGCCTGGTACAACGAGATATAGTAAAATACTCCACCACCTGGTGGAGGGTGGTGGAGCAGGTGGCGCAGCCTGGTACAACGAGATATAGTAAAATACTCCACCACCTGGTGGAGAGTGGAGCAGGTGGAGGTGGCGGATGCGGAGTAGGTCAGTAGGTCACCAACGGTGACCTTGTGACGTAATCACCATCGGTGACCTAGTGACGTAATCACCATCGGTGACCTAGTTACATGTACTTACGTTGGGGAAAGTAAACTCGGTTGATTTAAAAAAATGTATTTAAATATATAGAGTTATAGAACCTTAAAGTTAACAGATAATGAAAAAAAAATTAAAATTAAAATTAACATCCACCTCCTCACCCACCTCACTTAGGTGGTGGAATCTGTTACTATATATCCTTTACTCCTACTCCTGTCCCCCCTCCCTTCACCTACCTGCTCCCCCCTTCACCCAACTGTTCACCTTTCGCCCACCTGCTCACCCACCTCACCCATGTTACTATAATCGAGTATGTATTGATCGATTGTTAAGTTTACAGCATGATATTTTAAAAGCCTTTGATGTCTTGGAAAAACGTTAATAAATAAATAAATATAAGAAGACTTTTGTTCTAATTTTAGTGTGCGTTTGAATGTGTATACGTGTATCTCAAAAATGGTGTAGACTCGTAGTACCAGAAAACCTAAAAACAAGGTAATGAAAAAAGCCCTGGAGCATCCGTTAAGTGAGGCGCCAGCATGTCTCGTACTCGCCAGGTGGTCTTCAAATAAACGCCGTCTGAACTTCGCGGAGAAGCACTTAGTTTATCCCACAAAGACATTCTACGGCGATGAAACGTAATTGGTTTTATGACCGATAAAATACGAGGCCGAAACTCCAGAGACGTGCTCACGTACCAATGCACTAAGCGACCTTTACCTGCGGCCACCACCACCACCACCACCACCACCACCACCATCACTCCCCCTTTAATCGAAATTCCAGAGACGCGCTCACGTACCATCGTACAAGGTGACCCTTACCTGCGGCCACCACCACCACCACCACCACCACCACTCCCCCTCTACTCCTCAGCACAAGAAAAGCCGTAAATCTCCGGGCGGTACCTGTCAAAAGGAAAACTTCGCTGGCGGATTGATGCGTGCTAGTAGAAGGTGTGGCGCCAGACTGTCTCGCGCTGGCCAGGTCATAAAAAAAGCACGCCTGTGAACGCCGGGTGGCAATGAGTATATTCCCATTAATCAGCATACCACCTATCGTGTTCGCGTTTCACACGCACTAAGTGAACTCACCTGTCGCCTATAAATCTCTGGGCGGTACCTGTCAAAAGGAAAGCTTCGCTGGCGGATTGATGCGTGGGATAATTTGAAACAGGTGTCGTTAATGGTTGTTGGAAGTCGAGAAAAAGAACTTTCTATTTTTGAACACGTTAGCGTTAGTCAGTTATTTAAAAAAACAACAAATAAAATGAAATAAACCGAACAAATAAACAACAAATAAACAACAATTAAACAAATTAAAAATTAAAAATTAAAAAAAAATAAAAATTTTCAAATTTTAAATATTAAAATCAAATTAATTAAAAAATCAAAATTAAAGTAATTAAATTTAAATTTAAAAAATAATAATTAAACTAATTAATAATTAACAAACAAAATATAAACAAAGAAATTAAAATAAAATTAGAATCAAATTAATTAAAAACAAACTAACTTAAAAAAATCAAATTTAAATTAAAAAATAATAATTAAACTAATTAAAAAAAAAAAAACAACAAATATAAACAAATATTTAAAATCAAATTAATTAAAATCAAAATAATTAAAAAATCAAATCAAATTTAAATTAAAAAATAATAATTAAACTAATTAAAAAATAAACAAATTAAATATAAACAAATTAATTAACATTAAAATTAATTAAAATCAAACAAATTAAAAACTAATTTAAAAATCAAATTTAAATTAAAAAATAATAATTAAACTAATTAAAAATTAAACTTATTAAAAATTAAAATCAAATTAATTAAAATCAAACAAATAATCAAAACTCCCGTTTTATTTTATTAACAACTAGCGTACCCGACCCCCGCGCGTTGCCGCGGGAATAGACGAAAGTTTGACGAAATATATTAGGATTTCACCAACGCGTTATCAATTATAATTATATGTTCTTAGACGCGTGAACTTCTTTTCTAAAAATGAGTTATGTACATGTAATTAATGCCTGTTCTTGGATCATAAATATTGGGAAAACCGCATGAAAACCTTGAGTGTATATTAATCACTCACCGAAATAATATGGTAGAACACACTTCGGTGACCGCTTCTATGTCAGAGACGTAGAGGGGCGCTCTCAGGGCCCCCAACCCCCGATTACACTACGTCATAGGCGCGGCCTACGACCCCTGGCTCATTGAAACTAACAGGCGCCATCGGCCAAATCGCATCCTGTTAATAATGATGCAGATTTTGTCATTCGCTAAAGTGACACAAATCGCAGCCCCCCCCCCCCCTGGCGCCGCCCTTGCGAAATTAAAAAAGGAATTTTTTTACAGAACCCTTTCCTGAATTGTTCTAATCAACTCCCCCAAAGTCTCATGGCTATCGGATAACGGTGTCACAACAAAATCGACTTATTTTTATAAACCGTATATAGAGAAAAATCCGTAAATGTAGAAAAATCGGACCCTCCCGTGGCGCCGCCCTTGCGAAATTAAAAATTATTTTTTTATAAAACCCTTCCCTAGAGTGGTTTAATGAACTCCCCAAAGTCTCATGGCTTTCGGATGAACGATGCTAAACCAAAATCGACTTTTATTTTTATATACCGTATATGGAAAAAAATAATCGCGCCGTGTCGGGGCGCCACCCCTGCGAATTTGAAATATTTTGTTTTCGCAGAAACCTCCCCAGGAGTATTCTCAACAACTTCCTAAAGTTTCATTGCGATCATGGGAACGGTGTCACGGCAATTCACTTTTATTATTTTTATATACCGTATATTGAGAACAATCGCACCCTCCCGTGGCGCCGCCCTTGCGAAATTAAAAATGCTTTTTGTACAGAACCCTTCCCTATAGTGTTTTAATCAAACCTCCCCAGGAATATTCTCAACAACTTCCCAAAGTTTCACGGCGATGTGTTAAGAGGTGTGGTAATGCATAAAAGACACACACACACAGACACACACATACATTGCTTTTTATATATATAGATAGAGTTGCATGACTAAAAACTAATTTAGACAACATTTTCATTAATTCATTAAAAAAATAATTTGGCATCCAATTAAGTCAAATTTAATGTTAGATTGCATTGTCTTCATGTCTTGACCAATGTGCCAATTTTTCGCACCCCAGTTTCGATCCCTGATGAGGACGGTATACAAACTGTCGACAGGAAGCAAGTTAAATAAGAGCTTGTAAATACGTTTTCTTACCGAAGTATATTTTTTGAACATTTTGAGTTTAAATTTTCACCGGAAATAAACGTTCTAAAATGGCAAAATATATAGAACTAGCGAAAGAGCTAGACATTAAAAAGGAAGACAGGTTGGCATTTGCAAAACAAAAGAAAGCTGAAGACGATATAAGAAAAGAAAAAGAAGAGAAGGCTAGAAAAGAAGAAGAGAAGTCTAAAAAGGAAGTAGATGACAAGTAAAGGACTAAATGGTTAGAATATAGAAATTGGGAAAAATAAGCATTTGAAAGAAAGGAAAAAGAAGATGCAAGACAGCTAAAAGCAGAATCTGAGAAAATACGGCTTCAGAGAGAAGCAGAAGAAGCAAAGCTTAAGCTAGAAATAGAGCTCAATAGATCTGAAATTACTACAGGCAGTGTTGTTGTTTACTTAAGTGCATCAGAGAATGGCAGTCTACGTAAATCTAGTCCATCGAAGAATGGCAGTAATCAGGATAAAATAATACTATCGGATGATAGCAAACCAATTATGATGAACAAGTCGGTAAACGAAATAAGCAACACTGGAGATAACATACCTATATAAAAACTATTACGAAAGTTGAAGTCAAACGATAAAGATGATATACTGGACCTTAAGAATAAATTTGACAGAGAATAGGAGAACTTAACAAAGAAATTTTTGAATGAATTGGAATTAATAAAGAACAACTAGTTAGTCAAGAAATATGAGACAAGAACTAGAAGCTACAATGTAAGTAAAGCACAAACTAAAAGTAGAAGACGTGTATACATTTGTGGATACAGTAACCATAATTATAAAAAACCCAAAATCTAATAGATGTTTTTACATCGGAAACACAGTTCACTACCAAGACCACTGCTAATGTAGATTGGCAGATCAAACAAGAAAAAGTCATGTACAAGAAACTACATATCATTCAAAATACTGCACTAACAATAATTTAAGAAATAACGTATCTTATTAGGCCAACAAAGACCTAGATGACAGGTATCCCCTACATGGTCTTAGTGAGCTGTAGTTCACGCTATATTTACCTTCGTGGAGTCGGGTTTAGTGACGGCTATTAGCGGCAGATAATTTAGTTTGAAACGATTTTAAACGTTGGGGGGGGGGGGGTGGAGGGAAGGAAGGGGGGGGGGGGGTTATGGTCCTTAACGAGCTACTTATAGTGTTTTAAAGAAATATTTTCAGTGTCAGCGTTGGTACTGTCGAATTCACAAATTATGAATTACTGAAAAGTAGAAAAAACAACAACTAAATAGCGGCGTATGTTATACGAGCGGGCCGGCTCGTAGTGAGAAAAATACTAAAGTAGATCAGAAGCTAGATAAGCAAGAAATAATACAGATACCCAAATAGAAGAAAGATAATGGTCAAGAAAACCTAATAGTAATACAAATTAAAATAAATCAAGGGAATTATTATAGTAGCAAAGCTAGAAGCCACACCCACAATTTAAGGAAGAGATGTCAGACAGGTGATCAACTATATAAAGGTTAAAACAAACATGATTTAATGAATTTATTGTTACACATTATGCCAAGTATAGTATGTTATTATGTTATATAGTGTTTAATGTACAATGTCTATGGTGGACAAATAAAAGTTAAGGACTATATATACATCACATGATTATAAGCAGGACGTCTAAATCATGACTCATGTATTGGTCAGATCTTACTGAAGGCAGGAATGTTATTGATGTGCCGTGACCTAGATGTAACTTAAATGGGTCAACTAGGGGAGACAACAAGAAAATTACGCAAGCGTGGTAAGAAAATGCCTTGTGGATAAGGAAGGCTACCACTGAATATAATGCAAAATGTAATTTATGAGTTTATTTTACTCTTGAGTATTAAAATTGTGTGATATACAAATGCAGATAAGTCGTATAACAAATATGTTTCTTGATATTCTTACTCAGTTGATGTAATGGGTTTAGTACCAGGGTCACTCAATGATTAAAATGTTTTTTTTCTATTTAGACATATGTATGTACTAACTATTAAACATAATGCTTATACATGTCAAAGCTTTTTTCAAACACTGACACTGTATATTAAAATGTATGAACATTTTCTACACACTTATTGATCTAAATATATTGTCATAATATTTTGCAATTTTTATAATCTAAAAATTATCTTTTGAGTGATATAATCCCCACACATTGTGGTCTATTCTGCTTGTAAACTTGTGACTACGAATGTTTAGTCTATATTGAATTTATTTTCACTCTACTTTTTTGTGTCTGGCACATCATCCTGCAATACTAGCATTGTACTTACAAAATTTTGTTGCACAGAGTTTTATTTGAAAGGGGGACGTGTAACAGACTGTATTTTTGGTATCGTTTATCTATATTGTATTTACCATGAACTTGTACAAAAGGAGAATACCTGGCCAACAGAAGGACTATGTGAGCGAATAATCATGTTTGTCTATACTTTTGTAAGATCGTTCACAGACTTTAGGGGAGAGAATGAAGGATACAAAAGGGGAGCATAAGGTGGGGGATCCCGTGTCATGTTGTTGAAGCTACATATATTCTATGTAATGATTGAAACAACCACATATGTCCTCTAAATGGTGGAACTAGAGCTCTGTTTTCCATCACAAATAGTAGTGCTTGGTTATATATTTATAATAGCTACTGATGAGAAGAGATGGGCAATGCTAAATGTGATGATGAGAGATTTGTAGAATAAACCAAGAACCAACAATACCTTGTCGGATGGACATTTATAACAGAGCAAACGGTTAAAATTAGTTGAATGTCAGTTGTTTGAAATAAAGTTGTGTGTCAGTAAAACTACATGATTTAATATGTGAACTAATTGGGATTTGAAAATATAAGGACATTTCATGTATATA